AAAAAAAAAAAAAAAAAAAAAAAAACCAAGAAACAAACAAAGTCAAAATTTTCTTCTTTTAATTTTGTGCTAGAATTTTCATGTTGTGAATAGTGAAGCATTAGAACCTGGTTCTGGTTGGAGTGAGCTGAAAGAGGGCATGATCAAGACAAGTGTTAGGGTCCATAGCCGGAGCAATGCAAGATGGTCCAAAAGAGAGTGAGGTTCAAATTTCAACGTTCAAAGCTTCAGATCCTAATGCAAAAGAAAGAGGTTGGCATTGGCACATGGGGTGAGTGAGAAGAATGAGTTTGGAACGTGGGACCAACATAACATGCTGATGCTGTCGTGTATAAACACACACTCGCACGTTGTTTCTTAGAAAGAGAATGTGGAGAGTGTTTGTTCCAAGTCTTAGAACTTGCAATGGTGATGATGAAACTTGAAAGAAGATATGATAGAGTCGAGGGTGGTTAAGAGGTCCATTTTGTTTTCTCTGTTAACTTGGCATCCAAGAGAGCTTGTTGAGGTCTCTCTCTCTCTCTCTCTCTGTGACCTTGTTGTGTTGCTTTAGCTTGTCGGTGTCATTCATTGAGTGAGTGAGTGAACAGCAAAGAATAATTACAATTGTTGTTATTTCTTCAATCTGGTCACTGCCAAGTGCCAACCACAAAAATAATACTAATAAATAAAAAGGTACCCTCTTGGCATCAAACACCCGTGAAACTCATCTGTCTAGTGTTTATTAGTATATCTTATTATAATTAGTTATGTACTAATAAAATTCGAGTCTACACACTTTTTAAGTGGTAGGATCATCTTCAAACCAAACTACTTTACTATTGCCTATATGTTTGAATATGTATAAGCTAGCTATACCGAATAAACTGATCCAAAATTACATTAAAAATTGAAGAAATATAAGTTGAGAGATAAAGGGTAGCTATCTGTTGTTTGGCATTATGATTGGAATCAATAAATTGGAACGATCTAGCTGTCTATGATTGTGTTTTTGGTACAAACAAATGTACATCTCCAAAACAAAGGAAACCGACAGATAGGAGTAAAGATAAACAAAGCTCACCACTTGTGATGATAAAACAAGTTATGGGAAAGAATGTTGTGTTCTTGCACTTTTCGAAAAGGACTTTCCAAATGAGGATAGTAGTTTTTTTTTTTTTACTAATGAAAAATAAAGAATTGTCTGATTCCAAAAAAATATACTCCATTTCCTTTCTTTTGTTTCATTGATCCTCTGGGCTTTGTTTGATTTCAAGGAAGAAAAATACGAAGAGACAAAAAAAATTAGATTTGAATTGAAGAAAAATGGAAAGAAAACAATGTGATTTTTATTTTTAGTAATCTGTTTTTAGTTAAATAAAAAATGCTTTTTTTTTTTTATTGTTATCCATGCTTGCCATTAGAGAGGAGTGAGAGTAGAGGAAAAGGTTTCAAAAAGACAATCAACAAACTGTTTGAGAAAGAAAAATTCACCACTAAACTTTTTCTTTAACAGATTTATATTTTTCTTTCAACAGAAAAGAACCACTGTTATGATGGATCAAAAAACAAAAAACCACTGTTATAGATAGGAACAATTTTTTACGTTTCTATCTTTCAAAGCATCAAATTGCAAAGTCACTCTAGGACTAAATTTTTGAAATGATTTTAGGGAATGTATGGAAATGTACCAATTTTGTAGTTAAGGACAAGGACGTTGGCACTCGTGGGGCTATGTAATGGTGGTTGGATAGTTGATTATAAGAGAAAAGGTAAACAAATTTGCAATCATAGCCTTGCTAATTATCCATGACTTTTCAGCCTAATGTCGGTTCATATGTAGTTTTCCATCACACAAATTAAACGCTTATCGGATTGCTTCACCATGTGTTAACATGTAAGTAGGCCATAATAATTGTTATTTGATTGATAATGTCTTGTTTTTGGACTTTCCCTTGTTTTGTTATTGCTATTAGCTCTATCAATTCTTGAATGAACATTTTTCCAACTTCATGTATTTTATTGTAAGGGGTTAAAAGGAATCATCCAATTTTGCTACCACCATTGCTACTAGTAGATGGTACAATCAATCAATCACATAGTCTTTTAAGATGAATTCTCAATTTCTTAATGAATTAGTTGATGAAAGCTTCAAACTTTAGTAGTCTGCACACACACAAAATGTAAAATATTTTGGAATCTTGTAAACTTCCATAGGCATTGAACATTTCTTATTCTTTATATGGGCACAACTTTAAAGATCATTATCCTTTAGCTTTGTTTAGTTTTCTGCTTCAAAAAAATGAAGATCTCTAGTTCAACCTCTTCTTCATCAATGAAATTGGGTGAATCGTTGTTTTTTCCTCTTGTGAGCATGGCAGCCGTTGACAGGCCCTGTTTCAGAGTATGTTTGTTTCCTTGTCATTAAATCTAAAGCAACTATTTAAGATAAAGTGTAGAAAATCACCTGCATATGGGGCCAATTAATTATGCATTTTAAATTCTCAACTTATTCACTTCAATTGTTAGTTAGACCCACTAAATGAAATTTTAAATAACACCCAAAATCAACGTGTCAATGAAGCCCATTTGCCTAGGGTCGATATTTGAGTTTGCATTTTTATTTTTTATCATTGAAACATGATTTACAATACCTTGTTTAGCTAAATGAGCTACACTTCTTTGATATCTTAATTTTCATATATACTGATCTGTATGTAAAAATTAATGAATAGAAAGAAAAGAAGAAAAAAAAAACAGAATATGCTGCTTGGTCTGCAAATAAATATTATTAATAATAATGATTTACCACATGTTAGCTGTGTACATTGTGACATGGTGTCCATGATGAAGATGGCCAAACACACAGTATGACTTGGCATATGATTGGGTCCATGCAAGCTATTTTTTATTTGTTTCCCATTGGCACCTGACAGAAAGTTTTAACCAACATCACAATACAAGCAAAGTGGCCAAACCCTCTCACCACACCTGCTACTATGTCCCCATAATCTTTGCAGTATGCTTCTATATATGTATAGTATTTAAGTGTATATATATATTACATAACATTTCCCGTTACTATCAGTCTAGGAGGACCCTGAATATGATTCTGTATGTCATGATTCATGAATCTGTTTCTTAAATAAAATAAAATAAAAGTACCCAAACCCAAAGTATGGGTCATGTGTCACTTCAGCAATAAGTCATATTCCAGCTTTTTAATTACTTAAACAACTTGAGAGGGAAAAGGTGGAAATTGAAAAGATATAAACAAGATTTAGTTATTTATGCATAATTAATAAAACCACTTTATTATATAGATATAAATTGGGCTTGCTTAACCATTTATTTCAAATAATGTATACTTATTATGTTTGACCTTATAACTATTTTAATAAAAAGATTTATATTCCATTGCTTTATTATATTTTAAAAAATATTACTTAAAGTAAAAACTATACTGGTAATTTATAACTTTTTTACATATATTTTAACCTCAATATTTACACTATATTCATTTTAACTTTAATAAAATATTTGATGTTTAAAAAATGAAAAAAAAAGTTAAAAATTAAAATTTTAAAACTGTAATTACCTAAAAAAAATATTTTTGTCTAAAAAAAATAAAATTTACTTAAAAATATACAAATGTCATTTTATGTTATTTTACATTTATTAATAAGTTCAAGGCTTAGTTTTATAAATAATTTTAATTCAATAAAACTAATTTAATAGTTTTTAGCTTACAACTATTTTATTAACTAATTTTTGCCAAACAATTTCACTATAAAATCAAGGATAAAGTAATTACACTCATGGTTTAACCGAATTTCACTTGATATTCCACCTTTTTTTTGTTCTTTTTGTCCTATACACAAACCTCTCCCAATTTATTTAACAACATAATAATATCACGTATCTTTCAAAATAACATGGGTCTTCCTTGATTTTTATGTAATTAATTATATGGATCTAGAGATGTAAAAAAGACAAAAAATATTGAGTATTATTATTTTATTGTTTTAGAAAATGTAAATGTATTTTGTTTCCCAAAACTAACCAAAGCATTGGCACACATCAAGGTAATAGAATTTACCTTAATACCTAAATCCTTTCTATATAATATAATTAAAAACGTTACAGAATGCATATAACCAAAACCTTTACCAACTAGAGAGTAAAGTTAATAAATAAATAAAAAAAGCCATGATTGTACCCGGCATTCGTGATTATTTCCACTTTATCAAAGAGACAAAGAAAGAGAATTAAATTGAACTAATAAGAAAGAAAAAAAATCACCATGAGGGTCGAGGGATCACCCAGAGTGCATTTGTGTTGACTATAAAACATTGTTCAATAAACACAGAATTCCATTTTGAATTCCAAAATGCAAGGACATGAACATAGGTCTCATTCATTGTAAAATATAAATGCAATCACATTAAGTCCAAATTAGGAGGAAACTTGCTATGAAATAGTCGGGGCACAAGAACTAACTGGCCTCACGCTAGCTCCAATAAATTCCAATTAATAGCTGACAACACACATCTGCCAAAAAAAAAAGTTTTTTTTCCCAGAAAAATCATCTTAATTGATATATGAAGATTGAGGTTGAGTAATATTACAAGTATGACAATAATTATATAATAACTTACATAATATTAGTTTTGTATTTATCTTTCTATCACTTCATTTATTATAGACACAAAAGTGATATTATATAATTTTTATTATATGTGTAATATTATTTTTATATTTATTTTATCAGTATTAACATTTTTTTTTGTCTTTGTGTATTTTATTAAAAAATAATAATCGAAGGGTTTGAGCAATATTGGAGAGTTATTGAATTAAACAATTACTTATGAATAGTTAAAAAAATTACAAAATAAAAATAAGAACAAATATGTTCAAGTAAAAGTGGACATCAAATACAAAAAGTGATATCATCCTTTAATAAATAGCATAAATGCAAAGAATAGAAATTTTAATATTTTACAACTAAATTAAATATCGAGCGAGTGGCAATTCAAATTTGGTTATAAGAAAGAAAAGTGTACTAAAATATAATAACCCTTGTGTTGTTGGCATGCGTGCTTGTTGAACTAAAAGTATATAATTAATAAGAAAGAAAAATATATATATATATATTTTTTATTCATGGAATCAAATTCAGTACCACAAACATCTTGCTCAATCACTGAGTTAGACCCAATATTCATAATAAGGTGGTCTAGTTGTTTAAGGGGAGGGACATGAGAACAGGAATAATAAGGTGGTGTAGGTTATATTTGTAATATAAGTACACTAGAATTATTTCTTTACATATTTTAATATTACTATATTAGTTTATTTTATTTAACATTGACTCTTGAATCGAATTAAATTCTGCCAAATTTGAAGTTTTTTTTTTTTTTCTTTTGCTAGCGGTGGAACAATACTTACATAGAAACCCTCTGGGCTACGCAATATAAAGAAATCCCTTTCAGATGATCAAGTTGAAGCTCACTAATTCACCGAAAAAAAGTTGAACCTCACCTTTCTTTCTCGTGATCTTTTTATAATTCCATCTTACATTTTCCGTGAATGTGTGTGTCTATATAATACTGAATATTGAATAATTAAGGATGCATCCAGAAAACCTGAATTAGTAACAAACTTTAATATATCTAGACAATTAAATAGCAATTAGTTAGTTATGCGATACAAGTAATTAATTCGAACTTTTATTATCCCAACTTGGCCAAATATTAGTTATAGAAATCAAAATGTACCTTAATTTCTCTACTGTGACACTTAATTAGATGATGGTCTGACACATGACTAACTATATTTACTTTGATTACAAAATAAATTCTATAATTCCAGATTATGCAGGTAAAAAACTAATATTTAACTTAATTATAGTGAGAATTTGAGATTGATTTGCGTACCAAATTGCTCTAGGAAACCAACGAAAGTACGAAGGTAACATTACAGGGGAAAAAAAAAACTATTCTGCATGCAGTCTAGCTAGCAAGTTTCACAATCTCAAAGTCTAAATAACATAATTATGTAGAAACCAGACAAATGCTAATTAATGAATGTACTTTAATTAACGAAATCAGATTTTTCCAAGGAATCATAGTATCCAAGTAAAAGATGCTGGTTTGATGCTGTGTGCGACATGCTCTATAATTCATATGAAATTGCCTACCAAATCATATATAGAACACACACCTTTTCAAAATAGCGATTATGCCAAAATTCTTGTTAATTCAAAATGTATATTATATTGGTTTGTTCGTAGGTTTTGATATAGAATTTTTTAATCAACTAGGTATAAGAAAAGTTGCGATCAGTTATTAAGACTTGAAATTGTCTATTCAAACAGTCAAAGGAAGAAGCACCCTGGAGTTTGCTTTCATCTCGATTGACACAAATACATGGTTGACTAATCAAGAAGCCATTCAATATGTTGTATGCACAAATAGCTAGACAAGCTGGTCAAAAGCAAGAAAGAAAATGAAATTAATAAAAAACATTCTTGGCGCAGCCAAGACGAAATTACTTTGAACGTGTACAGAAAATTAATGGGGGACAAGGCACAGTACATTGTTTAAATGCTATTTTGTTTGTTGTTGTTTTCCAATAGTCCAACCCATAATACGGAGAAAGTACTTGTTCTATCGTTCAAAAGATTAATTCGTGTCTCATATGGATCATGTTCCATGTTCACATGATGAGAACGAGAGTGAAACACACAAATTAACAGGAAGACCACGACCAACGTCTTTGAAGGGGTATACTCCTCTTCAGTATAGAACCTAGAGGAGTCTAATTTACTGCTTCTCTCAGTTGTCAAAATCTCCATTATAACCAGCCGATTAGAAACTTTTGAACCTCAATAACTTAACTATTTTTCCATTCTTTCAAAAATCAAATGTGACCCAGAAAAAAATTATTAGATGATCTTAAATCATATAATCTCTAACTAATTAACTAATCAAATGTTATTAATCTTTGTTTAAAATTAAAAAAAAAATAAAAATACATATAATATAATAATTAATTAGGACAATTCTACTTAATAATTTTCTATCAGTCAAATACTAAGCTAAAGCTAAATTGAATTTCCCACCCAAAGAATTTAAACAAACAAAGACCAAAAAGAGGAAAGAGAAATCTAGCTACAACATGTAAATTATTATTATAAATATAAAAAAATGACGATACACCCCTATAAAAGGGCATCCCATCAATTCAACATAGATACCCATTTCATTTTCATCACAAGCCATACAAAACCTCACAAAAGAAACAACAAAACAACCAGCATAGCTTACTCATATATCAAGAATATACACATCTAGCAATATTATTCTAGCTAGCTAGCCCCTATCTTATCTTATCATAAACAAATTCTTATTCTTAAGCAGGTAGCTAGCAGCATGCAACGTAACATGGCAATGAGATTCTTCAGCCAGCAAAGGCGAACACAAATGTTGGCAAGGCGAGTGGTGGAGCCTTGTGACGTGTTCCTGAACCACAGGTGCATGGACACGAAGAAAACGGTGGCGACGTTGCTCTATGACCATCTGAAGAGACACGGTTTCAACCCTTTCTTGGACAACAAGAACATGAAGCCAGGGGACAAACTGTTTGAGAAAATCAACAGGGCTGTTATGGAGTGCAAGATTGGCGTGGCGGTTCTGTCTCCACGCTACACTGAATCCTACTTTTGCCTCCACGAGCTCGCACTTCTTCTCGGGTGCAACAAGAAGGTCATTCCCATCTTCTGCGACGTCAAGCCCTCTCAGTTGCGTGTTGTCAACAACCCTAAGTGGTCAGAAGACGAGTTTCGTCGCTTCAGATGGGCTCTTGAGGAGGTTAAGTACACCGTTGGACTCACCTTCAATTCCTCTAAAGGGTATATAATTCTACATCTTTATAATATCTTTTGAAAAATGTCACTAACATATTTTCTAACACATTCTTTATTATTGGTTGGAAATCATAACTTTTAATGAGTCCTAAAACTAAATCAGGAGAAAAAAAAAAACTCATTAAATCATACACCGTGCTCACAAAAATATGTCATTAACCAATTACAAAGAGTGTCATTCTTATATTCATCGACACTTGTTCGTTTTTCCAATGAGCAAAAAGTATTCATATGACTGTCTTGATCATGCATGAGTGAATTTTAGGTACAAAGGAAATATTTTCTTTAATTGAAGTAGAAATTTCTAATGTTGAATTTCTTTGTGGTGAAATGCAGGAACTTGTCCGAAATTGTGAACAGTTCTTCCGACATCATCGTTGGCAGCATGATAGAGCTTGAGAATGAAGAGAGGATGGTGCAAAAGAAGTTACCAATTCCTCTTTAGAATTGATGACTTAAAAATGTTGAAGAGATCTAGCCATATACCGCTGATCTGGAAATAATCCTTCCTTGTCAGTTTAATGTGCTTTAGATCGATCCTTTGATTGCTTTATTAATAAGGTCAAAAATTATACCTGATAATTATTCTAGTTTCATTGATTTATTTCTTATTTCAATTACGCCATAATAAATGTTAACATCAGATTCTTTTCTAACATGTATGATATAGCAAAAGTAATGTAAAGTGCTTCTGATTTTGCAATTGTTACAATTATATTGCCGCTGTTGTGTTCTTTTTAATTAAACGTAAAGAAAAAGGTGTACTATATATCTCGCTTGCTGGAAAACCCAAGAGAATCATTGTGTGAGGATTTATTTTATACGTAATATATGAGGTTAATACAACCAAAGTAGATCAGTGCATCTTCAAATCAGTAATAAATAAAGATAAAAATAAAATAAAATAAAATAAAAAGGATAATACAAAAAAAAAAAAAATTAACGTGAAAACTCCTTAAGTGATGTAAAAGAGAAGAAAATTCTATGCTATCCCTAAAATTTTAAAGGATTTTGAAACTGTTTGTTTTTGTTTTAAAAAAAATGTGAATATTTGGTGTTGTAGAATAATTTGATTATATTGATTTTTTATTTATATATATATATATATATATATATATATAT